TGTGTATAACACTCCATCCTCCAATCACTTATATAATATAGGCTAAACAATAAAAGTACCATTGAATTATAATTCAATAATTATTTAAATTCTTAATATTTTATTGTAATTAATTAAGTTATTTATCTTTGATTTTGATTCAATTGAATCTTCAAATAGACGAAATCTAATCATGTAGTAAAATTTAATTAATCAATCTTTAAATTATAGTCAGTTGAACCTTAAAAGAATATTAGAGAGAAAAAAAATAGAGAAAAAAATTTATTTTATTTAATTTTCATATATATTAATTATATCATATGACAAATTTTATCTATTTTATTGATGTCATGTAAAATTTTATCTTAATTGATAAAAAAATATTGATGTTAATTTTTTTATGCAAATAAAAATTTAATTAAATACAAATAAATATTAAATATTAAAATGATTGCAATAAAAAAAATTAAGATTTAGATAATTATAGCTTAGGAATTTTTTATACCGTTTAACCTATAATAGAATATAAATTTGTTGAGCTTTCATTTCGGTTGATTATGTGATTGATAAGGATAGATAGCTCTTCTCCAATACAATTCGAACGCGACTCGTCGTCATTCTTGCTAAATCACCTCAATCACCTTTCTCTATTAAAAAAAAAAAAAAAACATAAGAAGAATGGTACCCCAAAATTTTCTATTTATTTTTCCCTCTAGAAATAATAAAAAAAAAAGTGGTACAACTAATTGGACAAGACTTTTCTCTTTCCCTTCCCCATTTTCTGATCAAAGATTGGTCCCTCTTAAATCCCATCTTCCCCAGATTAGAGTATTTTAGGGAAGTGACCATAATTCATAAAATGTTTGTGTCCAAAAATTTAAAACAAATATAGGTAGGAGCTGATACAATGACATGAAATGCAATAAATTTAATTTCAAAGGTAATTATTTTATGTGTTTGTTGGAATTTCATTTGATCTAAACTTATGAATACATTTCATTTTCTCTTTCTATTAACAATCATTATAAGTTCAAACTTTCGCAAAGTGATATTTAATTTTTTCTGCTAATATTTTTGTTCGTTTGATTTTTCATCAATAAGCTCAAGACTTTAATTAGTTGAACAGTGTAAAAGATTTTCATCTAATTGAAACTGTTGTTTTGTTATTGGATCTTTAATCTAATTAGTTGATCGATGGATTAAGATGCTGATTAATAAGCTCAAGACTTCATTTAGCTTAGCTTAGATGATCGATGGATTAGTGCTAATCTAATACATATATTATATAACAATATACAAAAATAAGTTTGTCATATAGACGTTTATATAAATAATTTTCTTAAATAACACATAAGATAATTTTTTAAAATAATAAGATAATTTATTTTAATTACAAATTAGATAATTTTAAATTTATTCAATTATAAAAATTATTCAAATTATAATTAAAAATCAAATTAATTTAGAGATATATTTTCTAAAATTAAAAATATGAAATATGGATTTTATTTTTTTAATAAATAATTTTAGTTGTTTACAAAATAACCTTATTTAAAAAATTATTTAATTATCAAAATCTTTCAAATATGTTTAAAAATTACAAAGATTAAATTTATCCAATCTTTTAACAATCTTTTTTATCTTGATTTAAAAAATTATCCTTTTAAAAAATTTACATAAGACATTAAAAATTCAAGTAATTTTATGTAAGATTTTAAAAATTCAAAAAATTTTCATATTAAATTTTTAAATAATAAGATCATCAAAATAATTATATCCATTTGAACTCTAATTATCAAATTTATATTTAAAATAAATGCAAAATTTTAATATTATCTTTATAACTTATTATATTTATTTTATATTTTAAAAAATTAATTTAAAAATTATCTACTTAATTCTAATTGCCACTAAAGAATTTTTTACAAATTTAAAACTATAAATATAATATGTTATACATTAATTTTTTTTAATTTTTCAGTAACTTTTTTTAAGATATATTTTATTATTATTGCAATTTATTTTTTTATAACTTTTTTAAAGATATATTTTATTGTTATTACAGTTTCATTTTATGAAAAATATTTTTTAAAATTTTTTTCACATATTTTTCTAACATTTTTCATATTTTACATAATAATTTAGTCAAGATTACTAAAATGAAAATATGTTAATACTTCTTTTATTATTTAATTTATCATTCAATAATATATATATTTTTATTTTTTCAATAAATGCATAATTTATTTCTAATTGGTATAATTTTAGAGATGCATAAATATTATTGTAAACAAAAATATCTAAAGAAATGGCAAAATTTTTTTATTGCTGTTTATAAAAAATTTATTTTTTAATGACAAGTCAATATATACAAATCTTATATATGTTATGAGTTTTAAAATTTGAATATAATTTTGAAAAAAAACTAATTTGAAAATATATATATATATATGATATAAGTAAAATTATTTCGTGCGTCACATGGTTTATAGTCTAGTTAATAATAGTTTTTGGGGTAAACTTCTTAGGATAGACTTGTAGTTTGGTTTGCTGTTGGGTTTTAATTAAGAAGCTACCGGCTACATTTATATTTTCAATAAGATTTGCTTAAGCTTATTTTACTGTAAGTGGTATAAATAATTTTTGATGCAAGGATATTTTTCAAGGTTTCAAACTAAATTTTAACTGCATATGATACAGATAATCATTACAGGGGAGCTCATAATTTAATATAAGATATATAAACCCTTTGAAGTTGCAAAAATATAGGGCTATATTAAAAGGTTAAAATCAAATTTATTTAACCAACTGCCATAAGAAGCAATTCACTCAAAATGAGTTTTTATAATTAATTAAAAATTTTAATTCTAATAGCTATGATGTCACTAGATATATTATGAATGATAAAAAAATTTAAATAAATAAATTATAAGTGGTTCTTGATTTTGTTTTATAATATAATAAGATGTACTCTCAAATTCTAATTTTTTAAAATTATAGTTATAATCAAATATTATTTATATATATAATCAATTAAATAATCAACTATTATATCATAATCAAATTACAATAATTTAATAATCAATTAATAAATTAAAATATAACTAAATAATTAAATCTACACATAATATGACTTAAATATAGAGCCCCAAAATTTTAAGACTTTCAATTGTAATTTTAATTCTTTTGTTAAACTATTTCTATCATTATCACTAGTTAACAATTCTCTAAATTATATATTCTCTAGGTTTCAAAAAATTTATCATATATTGATTTTCACGAAATTTAAAATTAAAAGTTTTGATTTAAATATATTTAATATTAAATTTTAATTTTTTTATAAAATTAAAATTTCTTGATTTTTAATTAAAAAGTAAAAAACTATAAAAAATAATGTTAAAATATAAAAAAATAAAAATTTTAAATATTAAAAAAATAGATCATAATTTTAAAATATCTAAATAAATAAAAGAGGAAGAAAGTACATGTAACATGAGAAACGTTATTTTCAATGATTCTCATAATAGATATGCATGTGTCACGGATCGAGATTCAAGCTTCAAATTCGTGCGATTTCAGGACCCGAGCATTCACCCATCCGGTGTCCCAGATCAACTTGCCTGTCACGGTTCACATCATTGTGAGGTATTGTTCGTTCTGACCCCCCTGACTTCACGGTTTTATCTTACAAAAGGTGCCTCACAAGGCGGAGATGGTGTGAACCCTTTTATACCCTAGTGATTTTTTTATTATGTTCGATGTGGGATTCAGGACTCTTTCTTAAGTCCGTGACATTCTTCCGTACCCAACTTCGTGACGCTCTCGTCACGGAGGTTGGCCACCCTATCTGTCTCCCTTTGAGATGCTCGACGTGGATCGAACGGTTTAAAGTTGGCTCTGATACCACTTGTCACGGGTTGAGACTCAAGCTCCGAATTCGTGCGGCTCCAGGACCCGGGCATTCACCATTTCGGCGTCTCAGATCAGCTTTCTTGCCACGGTTCACACCTTTGTGAGGTATTGTCCGCTTTGGCCCCATTGACCTCACTGTTTTGTCCTACAAAAGGCGTCTCATAAGAAGGAGATAGTGTGAACCTTTTTATACCCCAATGATCTTCTTATTATGTTCGATGTGAGATTTATGACTCTTTCTTAAATCCGTGACATATGTATTTTCTTTTTTTGTATTAATATTAATTAATTAATTAATGCTAGACTTGTGTAAAATAAATGAGGTCCATGGATGTGACATTATAACAGCCACTCATAATATTATAACGTAAATTTCAAATAATTGGTTGAAGTGAATTATTATTTACGAACTCATTTTTCAAAAGTATTTTCATCGCGAAAGAAGCCACTCTATTCATTTGTTGTTTTTTTGGTTTTGGATATGAGAGAGGAGAAGGGGGTGGTGGAAGGTCAAGTTATGGCTGATTCGAAGGGGGACAATTAGGTCACCGGCACTTCAAAGTCGTTTGGGATGGTGTTGAAGAAGAAATATATAGGCCTTTGTTCAAGGTCCATTTCCATCATTCCTATGCAAGAGCATTTTGTTTCTTTTCTTTTGCTCCCTCGATGAGCTACAAAACCAGAAATGAGTTATGTCCTTATTCCTAACAACTCATAATATTTATATATATTATTTTTTTTTTCAACTGTGACCTACTATGTGGGGAATGTCAACAATTTTTAGCAAGGATATCATATCCACTAAGTTAAATTAATAATTCGGCCAAAGTGGGCACCTATGTTTCTCAATTAAGTGTGAAACTCTGTCTGAAATCGTTGAGTTGTAAACTACTACGACCCAAATGGTCCGACATCTTTTCGATTTTATCTAATCATGTGGGCCTTCCAACTTTTATTGTGTTTTGTGCTGGTGTCACCGTCACTTTACTTTGATCAAAGTTGGGCTTGACCTGTTCGACTAATCGTGTACCTTTATCTGTAAATTTCTCCAAATGGGCCAATATTTTGTTGTCTCTGCCTAATCTGTAAGGTCACTCTCCATGTCTAACATAGCATGTTTACAAATTACAGTTACTACTAAGATTTGATCATTCTTACAAGGCAAAATCCTTATCATACGAAAGAAATTGCTGATTAATCGTAGCCCTACAATCGTTTCCATGGTGAATGACTCCAAGTTTTCGATTACGATTTTTCATGGAGTAATAGTTAATTTGAATGCATAAGCAGGTGGGTACGTAGGTGACTCAGTGGCATCAAACATGTCCATGTTTTGATAAAATATGGTCATAATGCAAACACTGGGGGATTCAATCATATTTGTACATTGAACATTTGATTCATTAATATGTATTATATGTATCTCGTTATTCAAACAGTTGAATTTGACTTCATTTAAATAATAACAATAATAATAATAATAAATTAAGAGAAGTTTGAAAAAAAAAAATTTACAAATGTTAGAAATGAACTCAAGTTTTATCAGAATTTAGAGAAGAAAGACACCTGAATATCATTAGGTTTCTAATAATGCTAGTCTCTAAAAGAAGGTATCTTGCCTGTATTCTATTCCTGTTGAGTCTAATGAAGTTATGATAAAGGAAACTTCTTCTTCTTCTCTTATTAATCGCTCGACTTACTCCGGCCCTAGATGGACTAAGGTCGAGCCAACTTTGATCTTCAAACCGTCCCTTTTCATCCTTTTCTTGCCACGGGTCAAAAATCAAGTTTTAGCATCAATTATAGTTCACAATTAAGACGACATAAATATGGTTTTAATTTATTTTACCGATATTGAGTATTTTACCATGATCATGATTATCTGACACTTAAATCATATACTTGTGGGATGTCAGCTTTTAAATCTTATAATTTGTGCAGGAATAATTGAATCACATTTTAAAGATTATACACTAATCCACTATACAAAGGAACAAAAGTTAATGGCCCTGGAATTGTTCAGAGAATCTGGTAATCCTCTCTAATTTCTTGTGACGGAAGGCAATTCAATATCAACAACTACTGTGGTAGTCCTGGTAGCAGGGCCAGCTTCCTCTTGTATCTCTCTATCTTCTTCAACAATCTCAGAATTGTTAGGAAAGCTAGCGGTTTCTGACAAAGTTGGTGTTCGATGATGAGATGATAAATCTGGGGAGACGGATTCGTTGCTTTTCGAAAAATCATTACCGACATGTGAAGATCCAGCTTGTTTCTTCCGTTTCTGCTTCACCCCGTCGTGCCACTGTTTTATAACTTTAGCTGTCTGCTCTTCCAGTACTGCACTCTTGAAATTTGATCCCATCTGTGAATGGATAAATTAATTCCAAGTTAACTTTTTTTTTTTTGGGTACAAAAGATGATGTAGGATTGATCCTCAATCTTGCAGAAATCCACCTTTTAAGGGGATGAGTGAACCGTTTGGACTAAGCTCCAAAAATCATGATTATATACAGGCAAATATAAAGAATCATATACCTGGGTCACAAGAGCATAGAGTGGAAGAGTAATGTAACTGCACAAGACTTGAACTATCACCCTGCAACAATATTGTCCGAATTGTTCAGTCTGGGCATCTATTTCATTATTTTTTCCATTAAATAATAGGAAATTTTGTTGAAATTTTAGGAAATGTAGAAACAAAAAAGAAAAACAGAATAGAAGCTTACGCTAAGACCATCCTGATAACGATTATTTCTTTGTTCTCATGGTAGCAGGACTTTATTCCATATTGTAACTGAAGATAAGAAGAAATTTATCTAATAACTTCACATTTTCCCACATATATTTCTTGAAGAAAGGAAAAAGTAAAGATTAATGAAAGTATGTATACCGAAACCCAGACGAAAAATGAAGCCTCAAATGCATTCTGGGAACAATGGAACCCGGAGTTAATTTCAATTACCAAATAGTATATGATTATCCAAGAATGTTTGAATAGACTTATTTGAATTCAAAGGAAGAATTAATACCATGAATAAAGTGTAATACAAAAGGGTCAAGACATATTTCGGTTGACTGAACCAGAAGAAGTCATCGTTGGGTTTCACCAAAGGGGCTCCTCGGATTACACTGTTCTGATCTTTGACTTGATGTGCCATTTTTGCTAATATTACTTGGAGCTTGGTTCCCAGAACTAGCACTATCTAGAGACACAGAGCAATATTGTCAGGCAATTCAGGAATTCACTGCCTGATAGAAAATAAGTTAAAGAAACCATAACACGATCAGGGGCGGATCCACGTATTTAGCTAGGACGTCTATGGACATCTCAAAAATTAAAAAATAAGAAAATTTGATAAAATTTTTTTCTTCTGACACCTCAAAAATTTCTCTCATACACCTTTTCCATTGATGAGGTTGATAAATCTATGAGCAGTTTTTCATATGCACCTTCGAAAAATATGGATCCACCATTAAAAACAAGAAAGCATAATTTTTACTAATACTTACTGTCAATGGGAGAAATGATACCCATAGATACACATTCCAACCTGTTGAAATTCAAAGGTCAAGGTGAAACATAGAAAATATTTGGAGGCTTTTACAGCTTTGAAGGGAAAAGAGGAATTCCTAGTTACTCACCGTGTACGTCCAGCAGCAGGAAGACAGTAACCAAAAACCACATGAAAGGGCTGCTCCATCAAAAGCAGAAAAGATGGGAATTAAGAAAATATTTAGTTTTAAAGAACTCTTTTGCAACTTCTGAAGTTATGCATGAAAATTCAGTACCTGATGCCAACTACAACTTTGAAATCATCCTCCAAAGATCGTTGTATGTATTTTTGGAAATTGAAAGAAGTATTTGTTGATAAATGAGCCTACGCCATTACAAATTTACAAGGAAGAAGCATTAATTTTGCTTATAAGTTTTTTCTAACACAAAGTGGCAAAAACATGACATTAATTAATTAAATTTCTTTCAAAATTGTAATTTATTAGAATATTAAGGGTTAGTCTATTTTCATGCATGGTTTGTTTGTTTGTTTTTTTTTTTTTTTTTTATAGAATATCATTACTTATCATGTTAAGCTCCATTTGGTGAAAGAATTCTTATTATATCGGAAAAATCCCACCATGCTTTCAAATGGAGCCTTGATAGGTATGTGAAACCCATAATTCATAAATATGACTAATTTGAGTGCAAAGACAAATGCGTGTGAAATAAAATCACCTAAAAGAAATTAGAATTAAGTAATGACGAACTAACAGCGATGAAACCATGGCGTAATGTAAGGTAGTCAACTTTTTCCACCGAGTTGTAGAACTGTTGAAAGAAGCATTTCTGCACCAATGAAATTTATCATAAATTAACGAAACATAATTCATCTTTGTCGACAAAAAAAAAAACTAAAAGTAGTTATATCATACATGTCCTTAAAGAAAATATTAAAAAAAAAAAGTGACTTACAATCCACAACAGGATTGATGTCTCTGAACATGAATTCGAATGCCGCCGGGCAAAAGTCGTTTGTCTTGTGAATCTAAACCGATTAGGATCTAACATTTGAAGAGTTGTTTTTGACAAATGAAAAAAAAAGTTAGAATTTAATTACTTGTTATCGAAGTTGAAGACTTGATGTATTAATATCTTAAATATGCTAAATACATGTCCTAAGAATTTGACCATTTCCATTTTCAATTAACAGTTTCGCTAATAAGCGTCTTAATAGTGCATCCTTCAAAATTACCATATTTTCTTAATGCACTGCAATTCATGGAATTAAAATTAAAATAAACTAATATATTTAATATAAAAATATTATTATAAATAAATTAAAAAAAATCAAAAGGTGCTTTTAATTTCTTAAAGCACTTTTAATATGTTTTCTTTGATAATATGATTACGAATATTTTTAGATTTTGCTTGGACTTAATTTTTTTTAAGAGATTTTAAAAGCGTACTCCCTCAATTAATTTGGTGTATTCAGAATTTGACTCTCGAAATGCTTTCTATAAAGATCAAACTCAAATTGACAAAAAAAAAAAAAGTTTACCCTTTGCCATTAATAAAACCTTTAAGTTAATGATTATACAATTAATATGATTTCAAGCTTAGAATAGCAGTATAATTTAACCATGATTATTGGGAGAAGCCCATTATTATTGTAGGGTCTATTTTCAGCCCATAATAGTTGAAATGTTTAAGCTAATAATTTCTCAACTATCTACAAATTACAATAAATTAATGTGATACTGACAACAGAATTTTACGTTATATCATAAATAATTGTGCTACAAAAAGTAATTATAATAATTTTTATATACTTTTTGTTAACAAGAAATTAATTAACAACACATATTCTATTAGTATATAAGTCTTTTATGTTGTAAAAGGCGTTGTGCAAATTATTAAAAGGTGTCACAAATAATAGTGTATTAAAAGTTTTAACAACAATGGTTGCATGATGGGTCATGGCATCGACCAATGGTTGCAAGCATCGTGCTGTTCAGATAGCGACGAGGAAATAAATGTGTGAAAATGAGAGAAATAAAGAGAGAGAGACTTGGTGATTTGCATGCATGGACAAGGAAGAGCCACATTAATACTTTTATTATTTTATGTTAAAAAACATTGACTATGTCAACGCCAAAAAAAAAAAATTGTTCATGTCAGTATTTGAGTTAATTTTTACTTATTAAAGTAGATAGAGAATTTTGAAAATTAATTAAATTAATGTACAACAAAAAAATTATTTGAGTACTTTTTTTTTTTACTTAAATTTAATTTAAAGTTTGATCATTATAATTAAAAATTTAATATTCTACTAACTAAAACATCACGGTGGTTATTGATTATTTAAATACCTTCAATTTTTTGAAACGTTGAAAAATTTACAACTAATTATCAACATATTTTGCTAGAATAAATTATGAACATTGGAAAAATATAATATTAGTATAATTTGGGAAAAAATAAAAAAAGTTAGATAAAAAGCTATAATATTATATAATTTAGAGAGAATTAAAATTAAAAATTTTACTTTCACTCTAACTCTCAAAATCCAAATATTGCTAAATGCTGTTTAATTAAAAAAGTTATGAGATAATAATAAATAACAATTCAGTAGATTTAAGAGATGGGATTCAATATTATTTTTTGGATTATTGAAATTAATGATTAAAAAAAGATAAAAAACCTTTTTTTATAACTTAATCCTCTCTTATATATATAATTTAATAATTTTATAAAACAATTACTCTATGTTAATATATGATATTTTTATTTAAATCATAATCTCATTATTTGAAGAAATCAATTATTTACTACTAGAATAACTAATGAGCTTATTAAATAAGTATTTATCATTTAATATTACGTGCAATAAACGATTGATTTGAAAAGATATATGACCATTTAGTAGAATCCTTCCTCCATAAGTTAAATATATTTTCATATTTACTAAGAAAATGAAAAAGAAAATAAAATTACCGTTGGCAGCTTGGTATTCCACCGTTTGAGTCTCCTTCTCCCAAACTTTCCAACGCCGCATCTACCAAGCAAGAAATAATCGGACTTCAAAACATGCATAATTAAATAAATGTAAAAAAAAAAAAGGGAATTAATTTTTATTCTAAAGAAAAACAAAGATGTATCAATTAGTATCAATAGTTCAATTTTGTACCTTAGCTCTTCCTAGAGCCATTGTGACCACACTATACACAATTTGCATAACTGCTAACACGAAAAGAAAGATACTTAGCTGGTTCGCCCCCTCCTCTGATATTAGAGAGCTTTTTCCCTGCAAAAATTTAATCATACTCATTACATAATTATCATAACTTAGTTTCTTTTATTTCAACTTCACATAAAGTAAAGTAATCTATGTCATTCGATTTTTTTTTAAAATCGAATAAGGTATAATTTTAGAAACGTTTTATATATGTGATCATACTTGTTGAAATAAAATAAATCCACAAACTATTAATTTTTCTACACACAAATATATTTTAATTTGGTAAAATGATAAAAAGTTCAGTGTCTATGAAGTACAAACCTTGGAACAGTAACCTGAAGTTTCACTATCAGCAGCCAATATTCTTTCATATAATTGCTCGCTCCATACTTGATCATAGGCTAATGCTTTGACAGTTTTTGTGGATTGAGTTTTATGGCATGGAAGCATAGTATTAGCAAATTTATTGGGTACACAAATTTTGGAGATAGAGCTCTGTGTAACTGTTAATATAAGAGACATGAAACCCAGCACCATAAGCACTGCACCAATCCAAACCAAAAACAAATTAAAAAGGGAAAAAAAAAGTGGCACTTGGTGTAAAAAAAAATCTAATATTATATCAAAAGGTTGTGTTCTTGCTTCTGATTTACCTGATTTAAGCTTCTCAACAGCCTCAAAAAGTGCAGTTTTCTTATGTCCCTTGAGCCACTGCATGCACAAATTAAACAGATATGGAAACATATATGTTTAAATTTCTCTTTTTCTAGCATATAGTTATTTGAAGAATTAATATTCTACTTACTTTTGCAATGAGATGGATCAAGTGTTCAATCAAAATGGAAAAGGCGATGATGACGAAGCAAACGGTGGCGACAGCCCAAGTAGGAGTCTGTTGAAGGGAGCGAATCGAGGCTCCATTTCCGGCAGCCATGACGTTCCTTAGTCTTTCTCCTCAGCAACTTGATGAGCACCGAGGAAATTGATGGTTAATAAAGAGAGCTATTAAAACCATTGCAGGGTATCAGAGAATTAAAAGAGGCCAAAACCCAGAATAATTCACCAAGCGACCGGAGGAGAAACGAGAAGCGTTCAACGCTTCAAAGATGATGAGACTTTGTCGGATTTGAGGTAGGTGAAGTCAATGCATGTTGCAGCGGTGAAGGTCTTACCTATGCGGTTTTGACGTGCGATTTTTATTTGTATTTAAAACTTCTTTAGTTTTCTTCGCAAGTTGGTACTATGCAAAAACAAACAAAACTCCGAGAAGTCATTAGTGTAGAAAAAACCCTCTCCAGATGCGCTTTTTGTTGACTATGGTTACAAATAAGTTTCTGTACTTCTTCCGAAGAATTAATTTCATCATTTACTTGGAATGATCAATTGGAAGATGAATTAAATTAGTTATTCCAATTGAGCATATAAGACGTAATTGGCTAAGTCTTACCATTCCTGCAACTTAATAAAATTTTATGTTGAATTTTGTCTAGCTCCGATTTGTTGATTAGATTATTTATTTGATTTAATTTGTTAATTTTTTATACAAGATGTAATTGTTACTATTTTTATTTATATCTTTTATTTCAGTATAATTTGTATAAGTTACACCATAGATTTGCATATATATATATATATATATATATATATATTGAAATTGAAATTGAAACCTCAATTTTCTTGAAGAAAGATGATTTCCCAAGTTATGATCAATAATGTGAATTATAATTTTATAGATCCCAACTGAAGGAAGTAGTCTCTTAAAAAAAAAAAATAAATGACTATAGCCTTTGATAAGAATTATTCCATGCTTTTGAGTTAATTATTTTCGTTAAGGTGAGAATGCTTTGTTTCCATTTTCATTAGAACTAATTAATTAAATGATTTTTTTGTTAGAAAACTACGTAAAAGATTTTATTAGTGTAGGTAGTTGATGCTGATTAGTAGACTGCTGTTAACACCTGGTTTTTCAATTATGTGTAGTTTCAAAATTAGAGATATTCAAGTCTTAATTTTAATTATCAAGATTCAAATCCGGATAGTTTAAATTATAAAAAAAAAAGTTGAATTCAGAATTTAATTCAATTAATTTATATAATTACTTTTAATAGTTGATATCTAATACTACAATTCAAATCTGAATCTTACAATTTTTTTTTTTTATCTTAAGATTGTGACTTCTTATGTGAAAAAAAAGTACAAAAAAAATATAAATGATGTTATCAATGTAGAAAAGATTATAAATTTAAAATGTAATGACTTGAGAAAAAAATAATTTTGTTTAAGCTGCTAAAATAATATTATTTCATTTACGACAAAATTATAGATGAATATCAGTCTCTTAACTTTGTTTGTAAAATTAAAAAAATTTTACTACCAATATATCAAAACTGATTTTTTAATTATATGAGTTAATTAATTAACCTGTTGAATTGACCTAATCTAATTTTATCATTTTCCATTTTATAATTCATTTCTACAGAGATACTTCCAAAACCTTCACTGGGTAACTCATTCCAAAATAATGTTATGTCAACTTTCTTAACTTTGGAGGGTATTTTATAATCATTCTCTAGAAAAAGGATGTATAGAATTTTTAATTTAAGAATTGGCTTATAAGTTATGACCATTTAATAAATTAAATAAAATAATGAAAGTAGGGAATCAGTGTTAACAGAAGCAGCCGTTGGTATAACCATATGTCCATACATACTTATTCAAGAATGAAGCCAAAGCCGGCAAAAGTAACATGTAAATAATTTTACAATGAAACTTAGCCGTCCAATGTTGAATAAGTTTTGAATAGATTAGCAATGGGGAGCATTATTTTGGGTTAAGCTTACTGGAAGGAAAACAACCATTATCAAATGTTCATTAAACATTATGGTATGATCATAAAGCGATTTTTGAAAATAAAATAAAATAAAATGTTGATTCGTAACTTGTTTTATAATTATGATTGCCTGTGATTAAATTGTATTTATAAAAATTACAAATTTAATACTTTATCAGATTATGTCATAATTCATCATCACTTTCTATTTATGTGTCCTATAACATATAGGTATCTATTTCCCAGAAGAATTTTAACATCTCACAAGAGAAAGAGTGATTTATATATGTTGCCTTTTCGGTTTTCAAATAAACATTTCTGCAAGCAGCTTTTCAATTTGCCTTTAGGTTTAAAAAAAGGTTTTTGGAACTGAAATTAATATTTATATGAACTCATTTTTTTTTTTTTAAATTTTACAATATTATGTTATTTTTAGGTACATTTCATTTCACAAAAAGTACACTTTAACACAACAATATCTAATTCTTAAATGCAATTATTTTTTTTTTACCAAAAGTAATATCAAATAATGCTAATTTTTAACCACACCACAATTTTCAATCACAACAGCATTGTGAAATTAGACTTTGTTAAATCTATTCATTCAATCAACAAGGTTAACTTTCACAATCGCTAAGTCAGTTTGCATCTAATTATCAAATCATCACTAAAAAGGATTAACTTCCAAACTCCTTGATACGATATGACCTCACTTCCAATCCCTCGTCTATGGATTGGCTTGTCTAATTACTAACATTAATGTTCCATCAATATATTATCTCACAACAAACCAATTAATTTTAATTTGTCTGATATTATTAAATAGAACTAACGGTTGCCTGAAATTATTAAATACAGCTTGCACTCACCTACGTATTTCTTCCTTAAGCTCCACATGCACTTTCCGTCAACTGTTAATAACTTTAATCTCATCATCCCCTATGACCTCATCTATAAGGTTAAAAGAAAATCTAAGTACTTTAATTCTAATTCTTCTTCTCTAACTCTCTTGTAGACTCACTGTAACTTACCTTCTTCCTTCAAGAAATGCTAAGCATTTGATTGACATTAGCATTAAAGCACACCTCGAAAAACTAACTTTGACGTCCCTTGATCGAGCTTTCCTGTTGCAAGAACAAGTTATTCTCAACACAACCTCTAAATCACCATTCAACTCACTCATACTCAAAACATCATCAAGAGACCTAAATATTGGCATGACTTTTAACCTTTATGTAAAGTGGTCTGTAACATAGATAAAAAGGGAAAAAGAGACCAAGATTCTCTTTTTAATACTTCTTTTGTACATTATATCTCAATTAATTATGTGGGTTTTAGTACAGGTATAATTTCATATTTAGCTCTTGTAGAATAAGAAAATTTCTAATATAAAAATTATATTAAAAAATATTTAATATGATACTTCAATTCTTATTTCATCTATCAACATACATCAATATTAGACACCGCTAAAAAAATATTGATGATGTATGGGCTATTTAAATTTGGTAAAAAATATGCCTCATCACCTTTGGATGTAATAATTAAGATATAAACGTGGTATAATTTTATTCTTAAAAAATATTTTTTTAATTTTTTGAAAAATAAAATAGAAATTTTTTAATTTTTTCTCTCTCCTCCTTTCTTGTCCTTCTTGATCTCAACTTCAACTGATTATATCTAGCCAATCACTGACTTATTTTGATCAGATTAGGCTAGATTTGGTTGATGTCAATAGGTCGGAATTGAGGCGAATTGGCTTGTTTCAAGCCAATTTCAGCCTGGTTTCAAGTTCTTTTGACCTATCGGCACCAAATCTAAATTTGTTTTGCTAGATCTTACTAGCGATTGATCGAATTTGACCATACAAGAAGGATCAAGGAGAAAAGGGAAAAGGGAGAGAGAAAAAAAATTAAAATTTTTTTTATTTTATAAAAATAAAATTTACTTTTAAAATTTTTTATTTATTATTATTATTATTATTTTTAAATTATGACACATTGCAACCATATGTGTGCCATGTTGTATCCATATGTGAAATTGGAATAATTGTCCAATAACATATTGCTTTTAAAAGTTAGGCCAACTTGTTCTCTTAGTGATATTGGATGTTAGACTACATTGATAAACAAAATAAAACTTCATCCATCATGTTGAAAATTTTTTTATATATATGCATCAAATTAAACATTTTTCTATACAATAATAAAGGTTAATTAATACATTATTTCTCTAATATATAAACAAAGTCAACAAAAACGAGTTTGACATTTTCAAAGAGTTCTGCTCCAAACCTCACTAAAATAATATCTTAGAGCTGCCAAATGTCAACAAATCAAAAGAATGAAACTAAGTAGTCAAGAAAATAATCCAAAGGAGTGGAGGGGGGCCGGCTTCCGGATCTGCTGACCTTCGAGCATTGGAGAATGCCCAAGGAATCTTTTTACTACTACAAAATAGCAGGGTCTATCAGTATTATCATCACCTATGAATGACAAAATCTGACTATGCCAATTTGGTCCGATTCTGAATTGTAAAACTCAGGAGGATTTTTAAACTTTATCTGAATTTAATTCTCTATCCTAATAATTTTAAAGGCGCATTTTAAATTAATATTATGCATTAAAAATTTTACTTTCAAATTATTTGTAGACATTTCATTTAATTTAATTATTTTTTAATTTAATTTTAAGTTTAATATTTTATTTAGTTTAAAATTATTTATTTTATTAATTAATTGATTTATGAGTTTTTTTATAAAAAAATTAATTTGGTATGAAGTCTCGTTATTTCAATTGAAAAAGAGAATGTTTTGGGGTTGAGAGGTGAATTTGAATTAAAAATTTAAGTTACAGTATGATGAGGAAAAGGAATTTAAAAAACCTTATTATGATGAGATTAAGATCAAAAATTTATTTAAAAACCCTATTAAGATCAATTGGGGGGAAAATTCGAAAAAATAAGAAAAAAGCCTGGAAAGAAAAGCAAGGAGAAATCGTGAAAGTGCAGTGCAATGGGAAATAAGTATTTTGAGGGAAATTGAAGCTTCTGACATGTCCGCATTAAAGGCTGTCATAAGTTGTGATGGGGAGAGGTTGCAATTGGAGAAAGAAGCAACTCGCACCAGCAGATTTGTAAATCGTGAAAACCGACAAGACTTGGACCAGGGGATTGGATCCATTCACCTAAGCATTGGGCCATTAATTATGAAAAGATCATTCCAACTCTAGGCTAGTGTGGTATTTTCATTCCTTAATGATTTTATATTTATTTTATTTTGCATGGATCTTTATTCACGCGATTATTTGAATTATTTTTTATTGTTGATCAAGAAAATTTCAAAGGAAAAATATGATTTAATAATTAAAGATTATAAATAATTAGGAATGA